TGGGCCTTTATTTTATTCATGTATTTATATGTGGTGCTGAGAATCAAACCCAGTGCCTCACACATGCTAATTTTTAAAAATATTTTTATTTTTTTATTTTTATGTGGTGCTGAGGATTGAACCCAGTGCGAGGCAAGTGCTCCACCACTGAGCCACAGCCCCAGCCCTCACACATGCTAATTTTTTAAAAAAATTATTTATTTATTCAGAACTGGGATTTAAACCCAAAGATGGGAGAGATGGGTAAAGATAGGCTTAAAAGTCAGGACTTTGTGCCATTCCAATGTCACAACTGCTCAAGGAAGTCAGTAGGGTGCAGAAGTAGGACACCCCGGGTTCTGCTCTACAGAGGGGCCATGACACCCTTTGGTCCTTGGCCTATTCCACAGGTGTTGCTGAAATTGACCAGATTCTGACTGTGCTGCTGACCACCGAGATGTTTGTGGGCGGATGCCTTGCTTTCATTCTGGATAACACAGTGCCAGGTATGGGTCAGCCCTGGGAGGGCAGTGCAGAATGCTAGACTCATACTTACTTCAACAGATGCCCCTGAGCCAAGATGTGGCCAGGTCTGATGTCACACAAGCCCTGGAGGGAGTAGCAGGAACAGATGGTCTGGTGGACTGCCTGCTGGCTGAGAGGAGAAGAGGAGGCAAAGACAAGGCTCATTGGCCTTGAAGAGGCCAAGGCCAGTTGTTATTTTTGGGTTTTGCAAGTCTTTTCCTCATTATTTCTTTTTTTTTTTTGGTGGTGGGGGGGTATACCCAGGATTGAACTTAGGAGCACTTGACCACTAAGCCACATCTCCAGCTCTATTTTGTATTTTATTTAGAGACAGCATCTCACTGAGTTGCTTAACACCTTGCCTTTGCTGAGCCTGGTTTTGAATTCATGATCCTCCTGTCTCAGCCTCCCGAGCCACTGGGATTATAGGAATGTACCACCATACCCAGCTCCTCACTATTTCTTGATAGCCCCTGGGCTGAGGCATATCTTTGCTTTCATAGAGTTGAACTGGTGTAAATGCAGCATCCATTTTTAGCAGCCTTCCCCATGGGCTAATAGAGGAGCCCCCAACATGTCCCTTTGATCCCAGAACTTTTGGCAGGGATTATGGAAACTTCATGGTATCCCTGTACACATGTACCCAGTAAATGTATTAAAAAAACTGAATGTCATCAGGTGCTGTAATAAGCACAGTTACAATTTAATGAACATCTACTATGTGTCAGGCATGTAATTAAATGTTTCATGTCATCCTTTAAAGATGTAACTGTGCCAGGCGTGGTGGAACACACCTATAATACCAGTGGCTCTGCAGGCTGAGGTAGGAAGTTAAAGACCAGCTTCAGCAATTTAGTGAGGCGCTAAGCACTTCATTGAGACCCTGTTTCAAAAGAAAAAAATACAAAGGGCTGGGATGTGGCTCAGTGGATTCAATCCCAATAACAAAAAAAAAAAAAAAAGACACAGGTCCTGCCTGTCTCATCTCTCTGCAGACGCATTGGTAGCACATAGCAATCAGAGACTGTGCTTAGTTCGTGGGTCACAGGGGAGAGTGGGGGAAGGACCAAGGCTCCTCAGTGAATTTTGGGTAGAATCAGAGGGAGCTTTTGGTAGTAGCTGTCTGTCCCTTAGATAGATGGGCATGTACCTGACCATGACACTTCCCTTCCCATTCAGCAGACACTGGAGCAGCCCAGCCTGTGGTTCTGAGATAGTGAAATGGCAGCTTCCATGCCTAGGGAATCTAGGGAGATGGAGGGCCATTGGGTGGGCGGCTATACACATAGAGGCATTTTTTTTCTTCTTTTTTATATGATCTGGGTGGCTAAAGTTATCCAGATGTCTAACAATAGCTTCAGAACTGCCTCACACTCCAATCTTTCAACCAGCTGAACTTCAGCAACCATCCTTGCCAGGGATCATAGGCAATATGCCACATAATCTTCAATAGTCCTTCAATGTGCATTGATGAGGAATATGAAGCTTAGGGTGGTGAAGTCACTTGCCTGCAGTCACAACCTGCATTCAAACCCAGGTCTGCATGGCTCAGAACCCAATCCTTAATCATGGAAAAGCACAGCTTTCTCCAGTCCTTAATTTGCAGACGAGCCATTATGCATTCCCCCCCCCCTCTCTCTCTCTCTCTTTTTTTTTTTTTTGTGGTGCTGGGGATTAAACCCAGGGCCTTATGCATTTGAGGCAAACATTGTACCAACTGAGCTATGTCCCCAGCCCCATTTGCTTTCTCTTTATCTATCCACAATCCAACCTTAGAAGATATTGTAGTTTAGCAAATGCTGGTGGAGCTTAGCAGCTTGGCCTGAATCAGACAAAGGAGGATGTGCAGAACAATATTGAGTCACATTTTTTTTAATGTCCTAAAGATTCTTTTATTGAATTAATTAGAAAAAGAAATTAAGGAGTGCAAAATGAAAACAACCCTAGTTTATAATGGAGATTTTCATAAAAATGTGACTTTGGGCTGGGGCTGGGGCTCAGCGGTAGCACACTTGCCTGGCATGTGCGAGGCACTGGGTTCGATTCTCAGCACCACATATAAATAAATAAAAATAAAGATCTATCAACAATTAAAAACATTTTTTTAAAAAATGTGACTTTGATGACCTCTTGAGTTGGTCAGAGGAAGAAACTTAACACAGGCTCTTCTATGTCAACTCCAAATTTATACTTTCTCAGTCTTTATTATTATTGGTGCATAATACATAGTATGGTATTGTGACATGTTCATACATGCACATAATTTGGTCAATTTAATTCCCCAGTATTTCCCTTTTTCCTCTGCTCTTCCCACTTCCCAGTCCCACCCCCCCCACCCCGCCACTTCAATTTTCATGAGATTACCCCACTTTTTTTTTCTCTTTTTCTCTCTAGTTCTACCTAAGGGAAAACATTCAACCCTTGACTTCCTAAGTTTGGCTTATTTCACTTAATATAATACTCCCAAATTCTATCCATTTTCCTAAAATAACAAAAGACAATTTTGTTCTTACGGCTGAATATAATTGTGTATGTATGTGTGTGTGTATGTATATATATGTGTGTGTTTATGTATGTATGTGTGTGTGTGTGTGTGTATTTTTTATTCATTCATTTATTTTATCCATTCATCTATTGACACCTAGGCTGGCTCCATAAGTTGGCTATTGTGAAATGCATTGCTATAAGCATGGGTTGCTGGTGGCTTCATTCCTAGTCTTTTTTTTTTTTAATTTTGTTTTATTTTACCCTTGAAGTACTAGGGATTGAACTCAGGATTTCATGTATGCTAGGCAAGTGCTTTACCATGCGGTCACATCCCTATTCTTTTGAGGAAGCTCCAAATTAATTTCCATAGTGATTATATTGGTTTACAATCCCATCAACAGTGTTTAAGAGTTCCTTTTATCCCACATCTTTGCCAGCATTTATTTGTATTCTTTTTTTAAAAATATTTTTAAATTTATTTTTTAGTTTTAGGTGGACACAATATCTTTATTTTTATGTGGTGCTGAGGATTGAACTCAGTGCCCCATGCATGCTAGGCGAGCACTCTACCACTGAGCCACAACCCCAGCCCCTTATTTTTATTCTTAAAGATTGCCATTATAACTGGAATGAGATCTCAATTTAGTTTTTCTTTTTTTGGTACCAGGGTGCTTAACCACTGAGCCACATCCCCAGTTCTTTTTATTTTATATTTTGAGACAAGATCTCAATAGATTGCTTTCAGCCTAGCTGTTGCTAATCCTGACTCCGAACCTGAGTTGCTGATTACAGTCATGCACCACCACACCTGACTCAATGTAGTTTTTCTTCTTTTTTTTTTAATATTTATTTTTTAGTTGTAGATGGACACAATACCTTTATTTTATTTTTTATATGGTGCTGAGGATCAAACCCAGGGCCTTGCATGAGCTAGGCAAGTGCTCTACCACTGAGCTACAACCCCAGAGCTTCAATGTGCATTTCCCTAATTGTTAGATGGTGAATTTTTTTCCTTTATTTGTTGGCCATTTGTATTTCTTCTTTCAAGAATGTTTAGTTCATTTACTCACTTGCTGATTGGAATTTCTTGGTGGTAAGTGTTTTGCGTTCTTTATATGTTCTGGATTTAATTGTGTCAGAGGAATAACTGGGGAAGGTTGGTTTTCTCCCTTTCTATAGGCTTGCTCTTCATGTTTGTTTACTTTGCTATGCAGAAGCTTTGTGTGTGTGTGTGTGTGTGTGTGTGTGTGTGTGTGTATGGTACCAGGGATTGAACCTTGGAGTGCTTAACCACTGAGTGGCATATTCCCAGACTTTTTATATATTTTATTTAGAGACAGAGTCTTGCTGATTTGCTGCTTAGGGCCTTGCTAAATTGCTGAGGCTGGCTTTGAACTCACGATCCTCCTGCCTCAGCCTCCTTAGGTGCTGGGATTACAGATGTGTGCCACTGAGCACAGCCAGTAGTTTAATTTGACGCCATCCCATTAATTAATTCTTGGCATTATTTCCTAAGCTTTAGGGGACTTGCTGAGGAAGTCTTGCCTGTGTTTGTTGGGGGAGGGGCACAAAAGATCTCAGATTTTACTGGGTACGATGGCACACACCTGTAATCCCAATGGATGGGGAAGTTGGGGCAGGATAGCAAGTTCAAAAGCCAGCCTCAGGCCAATTCCGTTTCAAAGCATCTCTAAGCCTGCAGAGTAGATAATATGAGCAAGGCTCATTCTCCCGAGCTGAAAAATTTATGGACAAGAAGTTATCATTGAAATTAAATGGTGGCAGACATGTCCAAGGAATATTGCGAGGATTTGATCCCTTCATGAATCTTGTAATAGATGAATGTGTGGAGATGGCAACTAGTGGACAACAGAACAATATTGGAATGGTGGCAATACGAGGAAACAGTATCATCACGTTAGAAGCCTTAGAACTAGTATAAATAAAGGCTGTTCAGAGAAATCCGTGTCCTCCCTCCAGAAGCCCTGTTTAATTATGACTTGAAAATTGGGTCATGTACATTTTCATATTAAACTTTTTGTTAAATAAACTTCAGTAGCAAAAAAAAAACAAAAACAAACAAACAAACAAAAAAACGCCAGCCTCAGCAATTTAGCGAGGCACTTAGCAACTCAGTGAGACCCTGTCTCTAAATAAAATATATAAAAGGGCTTGGGATGGGGCTGGGGTTGTGGCTCAGTAGTAGGGTGCTTGCCCAAGATGTGTAAGGCACTGGGTTAGATTCTCAGCACTGCAAATAAATAAATGAATAAAATAAAGGTCCATCAACATCTAAAAAAATGTTTTGTTTTGTTTTGTTTAAAAAAAGGTCTGGAATGTGGCTCAGTGGTTAAGCGACCCTGAGTTCAATCTTCAGTACCAAAAAATAAATAAAGATCTCCAGTTTTCATAAAAGGGCTGGGGGGCTGACCAAAACTGAAATACTGTAAAACTTGTCAAAGGAGTGAAGTCAGCCTAGGCTCAAACAATCCATCTGTATCACAAACCAAATGCATTCCCAAGTCAGCAGAGGGCACTGAAGGAATGCTGGGGTGTTGAGTCTATATTGGAGGGTTTACCCTATTTTCTTTTAGCAGTTGCAAAGGTCACATTTTGTTTTGAGGAGCTCCTAACACAAGATGGGAGGTAAAACTGGATTAATTAATCAATAATCAGTGAGGCTGGGCTGGAATCATTTGCAAGGACTTCTAGATAAGGGAATCCACAGCCCAGGAAAAGAGGTTGAAGCAGAAGAGAAGGCAGAGCAGTAAAGCAGTGGAGGAGGCTGACCAGTTTGTCAGAGGGAGGGAGCTTCAGGCCCAGCCAGATGTTAAGTGTCCTGCCAGGGGAGAAACATTGGGACCATTATCCTGTGCATGCCTATGCCTCTTCTCTGGTCATCTGTGCTCTTTGTGCTTGTGCAGCCAGGCCCAGTTCCAAAAGATCCTTCTCCTGGAAGTCTTTCCTGAACCCCAGCACTCCTTCAGAGTCCTTTCTGCCAATTTTGGGACACATCTGGTTTGTGTCTTTATGGGTTATTCTCAGCCTGGAGTGACCTCACTCTGTTGACTAGATTTATATTTCAGTTTTTGTCAGCCGCCAGCTCTTTTATGAAAACTTGAGATATCATGTGCCCCTCCCCCACAGGAGACTTCCTTAGTTGCAAATGCATCCCTAACCCCATCATAGATTTTGCTTAGTTTGACCTTCTGAAGTTTGTATGTAAAAACAAGATTTTCCAAAAATGTGAAATCCTAAATTAATACTGATTATAGTATTTCAAAATATACTTCTCTACCCAAGAGTACTGCCTTAGCAACATCTGGTGAGGACCCAGCATACACCATCCCCATACTAACAAATGTAAGTTCACAATTATTTAACCTGTTTCTCCATCTTAAAAGTCTGTGTAACACTTCCTACATTTTGAATAAATGAGATAATAAAATTACAGCACTAAGCAAAGAGTCTGGCACACTGTAGTTACATATTACTAACTACCTTTAGAGATCTCAAGAGTTCTGGCAAAGCTTAGGAGCTCAGAAATCATGGATTTAGCAACGTTTTAGTATCGGAAGATCTGAAGGCTGAGGGTGTAGCTCAGTGGTAGAGTGCTTCCCTAGCATATGCAAGGGCCTGGGTTCAATTCCAGCACCACGGGAAGGGGGGGGGGCCGGGGGACATACAGACACATTCACATATTTGATTCACAAGGCTGACTTACTACTAGGTTATGGAAAGGGGAGGTAGTAGAGGGTTGCTGGCTGTGGTGAATGACCTTATTTTCCCCTTCTAGGCAGTCCAGAGGAACGAGGCCTGATACAGTGGAAAGCTGGGGCCCATGCCAACAGTGAGACATCTGCCAGCCTGAAGAGCTATGACTTTCCCATTGGGATGGGTACAGTAAAAAGGATTGCGTTTCTGAAATACATTCCTGTCTGCCCAGTCTTCAAAGGATTTTCTTCAAGGTCAAAAACTCAGTCTCGTGTTCCAGAAGACATTCCAGAAAATATAGAAACTGGGTCTGGGTGCACCAAGGTCTGAACATTACTTTGAAAAAAGGTAGGAAGTCTCTATGGTTTTTGTGGGAAGGTTGAACAAAACATTCTTATGTTTCAACAAAAGAAAACCCAAACTATTAAGTTCCCATTTTTATGACCTATTTGAGGATCTTCAAGGGAAAAGTGGACTAAAGTCAACATATGGGCTGGGCACAGTGGTTCATGCCTGTAATTCCAACAGCTCAGGAGGCTGAGGCAGGAAGATCGCGTGTTCAAAGCCAGCCTCAGCAAAAGCCAGGTGCTAAGCAACTCAATGAGACCCTGTCTCTAAATAAAATACAAAATAGGGCTGGGGATGTGGCTCAGTGGTCGAATGCCCCGGAGTTCAATCCCCTGTATCCCCCCCAAAAATAAAGTCAATATATGGATTCTGGACCGAATTCCACGGCCATTTTGGGACTTCTCAACTTTTCCAGGTAATTAAGTTGATATAAGTATGCTGAAATATTAATCTTCCCACATACTTAGCAGAATTCTAGGCCAACTACAGTCCATGAGCCAACTGGGCAGCCTCATTCTTAAACTCCAGTGAGGTAAACAAATACCTGACATTTAACATGGGAAAGGCTGAAGTATTGAAAGAGCAAACTGACAGGAAAAATCTTCTCATCTATTCTATCCTGTTTCAATACTGGTCATATAATTAAAACCTTCTAAAAAGGAGATGTCAGCCTAAAACTATGCTAGTACAATCCCTGGTGAGGTTATCATTTGTCCCTAGGACTTGAAAATGTGTGGTAGCTGATACTCTGAAACTCTCTACCTGAAATGCAGATGTTAGGCTCTTATTTAATGGGCATGTTCCTTCATACTGACAAGCTGAGCCTAGACATTTTTTTTTTTAAAATACAGTGCTGGGGATGAACCTAGTCTTTGCACATGATATACCACTGAGCTACATCCACAGCCTTAGACTCTTTTTTTTAGATTAAAAAAAATTTTTTTTTAGTTGTAGATGGACACAATATCTTTATTTATTTTTATGTGGTGCCGGGGATTGAACCCAGAGCCCTCAAGCATGGAAGACAAGCACTCTACCAAAGTATATTTAATAATCACTCACTAACTACGGTGGCACACAACTGCAAACCCAGTGACTTGGGAGGCTGAAGCAGGACTGCAAGTTCAAGGCCAGCCTGTGTGTTTTGCAAGACCCTGTCTCAAAAAAAAAAAAAAAGTGGCAGCTGGGGATGCAACTCAGCGGCAGAGCACTTGCCTACCATAAGCAAGGAATTAGGTTCCATCCCAGTGCCAAAAAATGAACAAAATAGTCACGTAATCCAGAGAGATATTGTTATCTCAGATTGAGTATCAGAATTGTTTCAGATTGGGGTTTTTCAGATTCTGGAATATTTGCATCAAATTTTTTGGTTAAGACAGGTGAGGTGACACATGCCTGTAACATCAGTGGCTAGGGAGGCTGAGACAGGAGGATCTTGAGTTCAAAGCCAGACTCAGCCTAAGCAACTTAGTGAGACCCTGTCTCTAAATAAAATACAGAATAGGGCTGGAGATGTGGCTCAGTGGTTGAGTGCCTATGAATTCAATCCCCACTACAAACACACACACACACACACACACACACACACACATATTTATTTATATATATGTATGTATTTTTTCTTGGTTAAGCACCCCTCATCTGTAAATCTGAAATCCAAAATGCTCTGAAATCCAGAATTGCTTAATCCCCAACACCAAAAACCCAAAATGATTTGAAACCCCAACTTTTTAAGTGTCATGTCAGCATTTTAGAGATGTGGAAACAAAGTTACAGAAAGGTTAAATGATTTGCACATGATCACAGGATTTGCATCCACAAAGTACAGCCAGAATCTTTTTGTTGTTGTTGTTGTTGTTGGGGGGAGGTTTGGAAGAACCGGCGATTGAGCCCAGGGACACTTTACCACAAGCTATATCCCCAATACTTTTTAACCTTTTTAAAAAAATATATTTATTTTTTAGTTGTAGTTGCACGCAATACCTTTATTTTATTTATTTCTATGTGGTGGTGAGGATCCATCCCAGGGTCTTGCACATGCTAGGTGAGTGCTCTACCACTGAGCCACAACCCCAGCCCCACTTTTTACTTTTTATTTTAAAACAGGGTTTTGCTGAGTTGCTTAAGGTGTCAAACCCATGATCCTTTTGCCTCAGCCTCTACAGTTGCTGGGATTACTTACTGGTATGCACCACCATGAAGTAGAATTTTTTTTTTTCCTAATCATTAGGTTACAGTGCCTTTCTAATTGGTGCAAATTATACTGCACTGTAATAATTAGGAAGTATATGGAAATGAACTTACCTGCCCTTGTCTAAGCTCAGAGACACAGGACTAGTAAGATTTATATATTTGGCAGGTAGCCATGCCTCTTATACTGAGTTAAGAAACAGAGAGGACAGTTGTATCATGGCACCAAAAAGAAGTCAAGAATAATTATTTGTTTCAGAGGTTCTTCAAAAAACACCTGTAAGATTATTAAGGTAACTATTAAGCCAGGAGCAGTAGTGCTCACCTATAATTCTAGCAACTTAAGAAACTAAGGCAGAAGGATCACAAGTTGAAGACCCACTTGGTAATTAAATGACTATCTGTCTCCAAACAAAAAAATTAAAAGATCTTGGGATGTAGTTAAATGGCAAAATGCCTCTGGGTTCAAACCCTAGTCCTAACAAAATACGAGTCATCAAAAATTCGACCCCAAGGCTAAAGGTATGGCTCAATGGTAGAGCACTTGCCTAGCATGTGTGAGGCACCGAGTTGGATTATCAAGCACACATAAAAATTACCACAAAGGTTCACTGGCAGTGGCACATGCATGTAATCCCAGCAGCTCGGGAGACTGTGGCAGGAGGATCGAGAGTTCAAAGCCAGCCTCAGCAAAAGCCAGGTGCTAATCAACTCAGCGAGACCCTGTCTCTAAATAAAATACAAAATAGGGATGTCGAGGTGGGCTTAGGGGTTGAGTGCCCCTGAGTTTAATCCCCAGTACCAATAAAAATAAAGGTTCACCCACAGTTTTTGTTTCCCAATATCTTTGTCTTTATTCATTTTTATGTAGTGCTGAGGATCAAACCCAGTACCTCCTATGTGCAAGGCAACACTCTGCCACTGAGCACAACCCCAGCCCTCACCCACAGCTTAAACCCCCCACCCCTTGCGCACTCACGCAGTGGTGCACACCTATAATCCCAGTAATTTGGGTGGTTAAGGCAGGAGGATCTCAAGTTTTGTAAGTTCAAGGTAAGCCTCAGCAATTTAGCAAAGTCCTAAGCAACTTAGCAAGACTCTGTGTCAAAAAAAAAAATCAAAGGGGTGGAAATGGTGGTTAAGTATTTCTGGTTTAAATCCACAGTACCCCCCCCAAAAAAAAATACCCTCATTGAGGCTTTGAGTGTAGCTCAGTGAGAAGTGAAACCCCTAGGTTGTATCCCCAGCACTTCAGGGTGTGAGGAAAGATTACTGGTGCCTCTCCTCACAAAGAATATGAGCCAGACATGATTACATGGCCCTTCTTCCTAATTTCTAGTCCAACAATCTCAAGAAAATTTTTTTAGAAGGGTGTATGAGATTTACTGAGATTATACTATAGTAAGGTCACCATTGTATTGGTCAGTCATAATTCTTTTTGTGGTGCTGGGATTTGTGCCCTAGGCAATAACTCTACAATTGTACTACATCCCCAGTCCAGTCATAGTTTCATTTTAAAATGGCTGCTTACGAATGTCTTTACATTGCAGTCTTGGGCAATAAAAAGCAAAGACAAGGCAATAGGGTTTATTTTAGTGCTGTACTAACAGATATTTATATAGCAACATACTTGCTACTATGGATTCTAAAAAATCCTTCTCTAAGCACATTTTGCCAGCAGGGTTGTCCTGAGGTATTGGGCCCATACTCAAGTGAATATCACCACTGGAGAATCTGCAGTCTAGCATCAATAAACACAAGCATCAGCTCAGTTCTACCATTATTTATTTTTTTAAATATTTTTGAAAAAATATAATTTTTTTACAATATTTTCAACTTAAACACTATTCACACTGAACACGTATGGCAGCTTAACCTACTCAAATATGAAGTTTAAGAAGCCAAAACTGTTCTAGCTTTGTTAAAAGAAAAGTTGTGCTGCAGACTATTGTCGTGATGGTTATTTAACAAAGCAAGGAAAAGCACCACTCAAATTATGTTGCAAATCTCTTTGTTCAATTGGGTTATGGGTTTCTATTGGTCCTAAGTTAGACTTCACACAGGTATGAATGGCTGTGATGCAGTGACTCCTCAAGAGATGCAATTCTCAAATCACATACTTCCTCAAATGTAACATTAGGAACAAAATTTGACATTTCTAACATGATAACATACCAGAAAAGCCAGGACTAACTCTTACCTGATCACTACCTTGTGTAAGCTTAGTCATTAAAGACACACTTGTCTCTAATGAATTATTTTTAAATTAACAGACCTTCTTCAGAAAAATTAGATTCTTTTTGATGACGACAAATAGAACTGAGAAATCTGCTTAGCAATTAGGACTTAATTTAAATTTACTCATTTTACAAACTATCAACATCAACAAATGTTAGTTAATCCTAAGGGACCAGTTTAGCCTCAAAGACAACAATTCAGTAAGATTTAGAGGTCATTTAATTTGGTGCTTTGTTACAACTTGACTGGTGCTTCTTTCCTTGCTGTCTTTACATTAAGCCAAGGGGCCAATTCTATTTTTCAGTAAATGTTTGACAGGTTTTTACTTAATAACAGTCTCAGCACTTTTATTAAGCATGCAAGACTAACAAAAACTTTGGCAATGCATAAGTGTAACACAGTGACAAGAGAGAGCTTTTACAATTAAGTCTTCTAATACTGCCTTCACAGTGTGGAAATTGTGCTACATCCACCAAAAGAGGGCCCCGTCTACTCAAATATTTTAGTACTTCACCCCAGGAACAAACTCCTTTGCATTTGGATTCAGATTGCTCTTGACCTGGAAAAAAAGTACATAAAAAAAAGCAAGTTCATTACAGATGGCTTCAGATACTCAGAATCATTCAGCCTAGCAGCAAAAGTATCTTCCAGAAAAATATAAAAAAGCAAGAACTAGAACAGTAAGGTTTAACTTAAATTGTATCAATTTTCTAAAGAGAAAGCAGCAACTGAAACTAAGTTTGCTTAAATGTAATCAGAAACCCACTACCTTCATATCTAAAGGAATAGAACTGATTAAGAAATTCTGTAAATTTAACTGAAACCTTTCTTAAAACACTTTTATATTATGCAAACATGTTAAGCTTTGAAATGATTAAAATAACCTAGGCATTGTTGATGGATTAATTTTACTTTCTGATCCTCACTGAAAACATGGAGTTGTCTTTCTACAATTGCTATCTTCTAATTCCCACAGGAAGCATGGTATATAACAGCAAAAGAAAACTACATGGGGGAGCCAGAAGACCTAAGTATGAAATCCCAGCTCTGCCTCTATCTAACTTCTTGTGTAAGCTTGGATAAATCACTGAGACTCCATTTTTGCATCAATTAAAAAAAAAAAAAGGGAGGGAGGATCCAGTGGCTCAGTGGTAGAGTGCTTGCCTAGCATGTGTAAGGCCTTGGGTTCGATTCTCAGCACCACATATGAATAAACAAAGTAAAAAAAAAAAATCCATTGGCAACTTAAAAATATGTTAAAAAAAAAAAAAAAGGGTGGAGTGGGCCAAAGTCTCTAAGAGCTGTAAAGACTTGTACTAACATTATGCTATGTTTTTTTTAGTACAAGTCTTTACTTTCCTAAGCAGATATATCTGTGTATAGGAAGAACAGCTGGAAATTCTTCTCTACCACATTTTGGATTCCAAGTAGATAAAAATAAAAAGAAGCCAGGACAGATTCCAAGACCTAAATATAGGCATGCTGGTAGAGTTTTACACTAATTTGAACCCTATGTCACTTAGACCAAAACATAATATTAAACATCATACTGGAGCAATAATTTTAGTTTCATAATTTATACTTGAGCATCTGCTTAACATGCTCAAAGCACTGGGTTTAACCCCCACACACATACACACACACAAAAGTAGCAGTGTACAGTTTAAATAAAAAAGCAGTATACTTGAATGTACAATCTCTTGGCTACAGAAAAGTTAGAACAAATTAATCTCAGGCTGAGTAAAACAAAACAGTTTCTATACTAAGGAATTATACGGGGTCCCAATTACAATTATATATTAAACCTGGCAAAGGGCTTTACTCATCAGGGCAATCAGGATTATCTGTGACTTGAATAATGTAGTCATAAGCAAGCATGTCCCAACAAAGTATAAGATCATAGATGTGTTCAATTGGTTATCTTTATTTACTGCAACAAAATATGCCATAATGTAAATTTTAGTGTTCTCCAAACAGTCCTTTAGAAGAATAGTTTCTAAATGTCTGATGGGTAGAATAGCTGTATAATGAATTCTCTGGGGTGCTTCTAAAAAATTAACATGCCTAGAAGATTAATGCTCCCAAGCTTACAATGCACAAGAGGAACTGATTTTTAGTTTTGAAGCTTCATAAGTAATTATCAAGTACAGATTAGGAAACAAAGAAAGTGAAAGACAATTGCAAAAAACACTTCAGAGTCCACTGAGTAGGAGAAGCAACCAGATATTATAAATATGGACTAAAAGGCAAATATTCAAGTCAGGTGTGGGATGTACACCTGAAATCCAGCTAGTCAGAGGCTCAGGAAGGAGGGTTGCAAGTTCTAAACCAGCTTCAGCATTAGCAAGACACTGTCTCAGTAAGGCTGGGGATGTGGCTCAGTGGTTAAGTGCCTCTGAGTTCAATCCCTGTACCGCACCCGCCCCCCCCCCCAAAAGTCAACATTCAGACCTAGAGAAAATTGTTTGCTTTCAGAAAAAATCATTTATTTAACTTTAGCAAAGGACTCATAAATTTCTTCCTTAGTACTAATGTTATCATAATTCTTGAATAAACTTTTTACTGCAAATATATTAACATTGATGAAACACTAGAAATACAACTGTATGTTCCTTTTCTGCCAAGAGCTTGTAAAATCCTTACAATATCACAGTTCTAATTAGGCTACTTTTGCAAAAGCAAGTCCCATGGTAATATCTTGTATTTTTCTAGATCAACTCTTAAAAGATCTTTAAATATTCTAGGGCAACACCATGACTTAAGAGCAGTTGCCAAGATTTCGGTTAATTGTCTAAGACTGGATAGTGTTACCAAAAGTCACTCCATGTCATATGTGACATGGGAGGCCTCTGTAAGGGGAAGATATGGAGAACTCTTCTTAAACAGATGATGGCCGGCTTTTCCACTTATGAGAAAGATGACCTAGGATCTAAAAAGATGAAAAAATAACTTTTACCACAAGATCTTCCAGAGAAGAGCCATCACTGATAACAAGGTCATTAAACTGGTCTTGGATTTGGTCCATTGTTTGTGGGAGATCTCGAGCTGGAATAAACCACTCGTGTTCCTCTTCCTCTTCCAGCATTTCCTGGAAACAGCGCTCAATAAATTCTTCTTCCCACAACTCCTCTTCTATCTAGATTTACAATAAATAAAGGATAATTTGTAGCACACTTGTTAAGTTTTAACTAGGAATGGCTTAAAATATCTTAACTAAGCTATTTAAAACCACAATGACACCAGGCATGGTGGTGTATGCCTGTTATTTCAGTGATGTTGGAGACTGTGGCAGGAGGACTGTAAGTTCGGGTTTAACCTTAGCAATTTGGCAAGACACTGCCTCCAAAAAAAGGGGACTGAGGATGTAGCTCAGTGTCCTTAGGTCCAATCCCCAGCACCATAAATAAACAAATAAATAAATAAATAGGGGTGGGAGTTGTGGCTCATTGGCACAGTATGTGTGAGACACTGGGTTCAATTCTTAACACCACATAACGAATAAAGTAAAGGCATCTGTCCATCTACAACTACAAAAAATAATTTAAATAAAAATAGTTAACAATGTTTGGGGTTGGTGGGGGCAGACAACTCAGTGGTAGAGTACATGCTTAGAACGCACTAGGCCCTAGGTTCAATACACATACACACACACACACACACACAAAAGGTACTAGAGATTGAACCCAGGGATGCTTTACCACTGAGCTACATTCACAGTTCCACAATTTTTGAATTTTGAGACAGGGGCTTGTTAAGTTGCTTAGGGCCTCTCTAGGTTGCTGAGGCTGGTCTTGAACTTTGATGTTCCTGCCTCAACTTCCTGAGTAGCTGGGATTACAGGCATGTAATTTTTTTTTTTTTAAATATAAAAGTAAAAATAGTGTCATGCTTTCTACTCTACTTCTGTGCTAAAGAAAAATAAATGCTTACCATAAATATCAAGAAGATCTGTTTAGGGTTTTTCTATGTCTTTACTTGTATTACCAGAATACATTTTTCTTATTGAGGATGGCAGGTAAGAAATAAAGAGAGTTCTCTTGAGAAATATGTATCAGAGTTATCTGTGATATCTAAAACTATACAAACTCATCCTACCCAATGTCTAGGGGTAGAGTCAGGGCATGGGTAATTAAAAAAACAAAACTGGGGGCTGGGGTTGTGGCTTAGCGGCTTGCACATGTGAGACCCTGGGTTCGATCCTCAGCACCACATAAAAATATATGAATAAAATAAAGGTATTGTGTCCAACTACAACTAAAAAAAACAAATCAAAAACAAAACAAAACAAAAAAAAAAGAAACCAACAACAACTGGGTGTGGACGTGCACGCCTGTAATCCCAGCTACAGGGAGGCTGAGGCAAGAGGATTACAAATTGGAGACTCAATCTCAAAATTGAAGAATAGGGCTGGGCATGTGAATCAGTGGTAGAGGGCTTCTAGGTCAATCCCTACTACCCAGAATGGGGAATGGTGACACTTCAACTGACCCTAGCATGTCTGAGGGCTGGGTTCCAGCATTAAAAAGAAAATTAAATACACCACCTGATACTTACTGAAATAATACTAAACTGTTTTACTCTGGAATGTCTATCAATGCCTATGGAGAAGCTAAGTTAGCTACTGATTACCAAAATCCTAATCAGGGGAGGAATGAAAAAGTAGATGAGAAGAGATATCAGAGTATCAAAATAAAAGACAACATTTATCAACATATGAGAGTTCTCTAAAGAGAAAAGTGGGACTGGGGATGGTGGTGCACACCTGTGATCCCAGCAACTCAGGAGGCTGAGGCAGGAGTATCAGGGGTTCAAAACCAACCTCTCAGCAACATAGTGTTCCCCTAATCAAGTTTGCCAGATCCTGTCTCTAAGTACCCCAGCAAAAAAAAAAAAAAACAAAAAGAGAAAAGTGGTGCCAGATTTTTCAGGATGATCAGATAAGGGATCTCAGCTGAAATTTTGTACCCTAATATGTGTCCATTTGTTCTTGATTCCTGGATTTTTTTTGACTTGCAGTGTAATACAGCAATCTGACTGGTGTAAGCCAGTGGTTTTAAAACTTGACTGCTCACTAGAATTGTCTGGAAGCTTTTGAAAAACAGGTTCCCAGGCTCTACCCTAATCCTCCTGAATCAGAATTTCCAGGGTGGAATACTGAAACATACATGCTCTCCAAGTAATACCAATGAAATATTAAGCCTGGTAGTAATCAGAAGCTAATTAAAATAGGAGTAGTGAAAAAAATCCACACATTTAATAAATGACAAGATAAACACATTTCAGTGATAGGCACAAATCAATCATATTTTACAGGCAATAATAGCTATGAAAAAGTACACATTTGTATACAAAACTAACTTGTCTGTTGAATTCTTCTTCATTTTCCATCCACATATACTCTGCAAATGGATTGTCATCTTCATGAGAATGACCGTTAATAATCACATCTTCATTGATGATGCTTGGGCTAGTACTGCTGCGACTTGGATCTTTCATGGTTGGCGTTAGTTGTCGTTTTTAACCTTAAAAGTAGAACAATACAATTAACTTAGTTATTCTTTCAATCTTAGCATCTATTATTATCTATTATTAGCTATTGTAGGTACATGATCTATTAAGTAACTGGAAAGCTTCCTATTTTTTCCCCAAATGATCTTAATGATTAAAATATCTGAGATGCCTAGTGCTGTGGCACATGCCTGTAATCTTGTTGGTTTGGGAGGCCAGGGCAGGAGGATGTTGAGTTCAAAGGCCAGCCTCAGTAACTTAGTAGGGCCATAAGCAATTGAATGAGATCTTGTCTCAATAAATAAAAAGGGGGAGAAAAAAAGAAATAGCAGAAACTGGGTGTCATGGCACAAGCCTGTAATCACAGTGACTTGAGAGATTGAGGCAGGAGAACTGAAGGTTCAAGGCTAGCTATAGCAACTTGGTGAGGCCCTAAGCAACTTAGTGAGACCCTAAGTTAAAAAAAAAAAAAGGCAGGAGATATAATCCAGTGGCAAAACATCCCTGGGTTCAATACCCAATATCCAAAACAAACAAAAAAATCACCTGTAATCACAGCTACTTGGGAGGCTGAGGTATGACTGCAAGTTTGAGGCCAGTCTCAGCAACTTAGTGAAGGCCTAGGCCCTGTCTCAAATTAAATAAATAAAAAGGAACTCGGTGGTTAATCAATCCCTAGGTAAACAAAAGAAAAATCAAAGTATTAAATTACTTATATAAAATCTCCAAATCATCATATTTATTTTTCAATGTCCTGTTTATATTTCAAAAAAAAAGCACACCTGGAAGACTTAGTCTTAAAGTGATGAAAATCAAAAAAATTTTTTTTCTTTTCTTTTTTTTTTAATTTTGTTTTTTATTATTGTTGGTCGTTCAAAACATTACACAGTTCTTAATAC